AAACATAGAAATCATGTCAACAATCTCAAACCTAGAACAAGAGAACTTTTTTATGCTGATATTAATGGACTTTTAGATAACTATGCAAAAACTAATCAAAAGAATTTTTGGAAACTGGTTCGGAGATTAACTAAAAGTGCAGATGTATCTTACATTATACCTCCTCTAAAAGACCCTATTACTAATTCTACTGCAGTAGATGATGAACGAAAAGCTAATATTTTAAATGACTATTTTGTGTCTATCTCTACTATAGACGACTCAGGTGTACCTTTACCACAAGTTGATATGAGAATCCAAAGTCGTATAGATAATGTATTTTTTATACAAGCTGATATTGTTGACATCCTTAAGTCTCTAAAATTAGGTAAAGCTGTTGGATATGATAAAATTAGTCACCAAATGCTTAAAAACACAGCTCTTTATGTTTCATTTCCGCTATTTCTTATATTCAGAAAGTCTCTTGATCAAGGAATTTATCCCAATTCCTGGAAAAAAGCTTTAGTCATGCCCATTTTTAAGAATGGCGATAAATAATGCCCGTGTAATTATAGACCAATAGCTTTATTAAGCAATGTAGGAAAAGTTTTTGAAAAAGTTATTACAAAATTTCTGCATAATTATTTATTAGAAAATTCATTGTTATATAAATACCAATCTGGATTTCAGCCATGTCACTCAACAGTACATCAACTAATTGAAATTTATCATAATGTATGCATAAATCTAGAAAACCGTCATCATACCTGTCTTGTTTTTTGCGACATTTCCAAAGCTTTTGATCGGGTTTGGCATGCAGGTCTTGTACACAAATTAAAAAGCTATGGAATAAATGGAAATCTTTTAGACTGGCTATCCGATTATGTACAGAATCGCCATCAACAAGTCTTCATCCACAATGTTACTTCTCATACTAAAACAACTAATGCTGGTGTACCCCAGGGCTCTGTCTTAGGTCCGCTTCTTTTTCTCTTGTATATCAACGATATAACTGATAACCTTGTCAGCCCTTCCCGTCTTTTTGCTGATGATACTTCCCTATCCGTCTCTTCTCCTTCCGCAATTGAACTAGAAACTACTACTAACCGAGATCTTGAAAAAATTCATAACTGGGCAGAAAATTGGCTTGTTAAATTTAATCCTAATAAAACTGAAGCGCTACTAATTTCAAATACCAATGCTGAGCTTGATGTCAATCTCATTTTTAATAATGTTAATATTGATTTTATCGAACATCATAAACATCTAGGCATTTTCCTAGATGCTAACTGTAAATGGACTCACCATATTGATAACATTTGTAAAACTGTTACGAAACAAATAGGAATTCTCCGCAAGTTAAAATATACTTTAAATCGCAAGACATTAAACAGAATTTATCTTACTTTTATACTCCCTCTGCTTGAATACTGTTGCGAAGTTTGGGACGGTTGTACAACTGCCGATGCAAATAAACTTGAAAAACTCCAGTTAGAAGCGGCGCGTATTGTCACCGGCCTGCCATCTTTTGCTAGTAGAGCGTCTCTTTACTTCGAAACTGGTTGGGAAGTCTTGTCTCAACGTCGCACCCGCCGCAAACTTCAACTTTTCTACAAAATTCACAACAATATGACTCCCTCTTACCTAACTGACCTTCTCCCGCCACTAGTAGCTACTTTAACTCCTTATAATTTGAGAAACTCTGAGAACTATTCCATTCCTAATTTCCGCTTACAATCTTCACTCAACTCGTTCATACCTTCTACTTTAAGACTATGGAATGAGCTTGACACTAATATTAAAACTGCACATTCTTTTAAGAGCTTCACAAACTGCCTCAAAAAACAAAATGAAACATTTAAAGTGCCTGTTTTTTATTTAGCCGGTGACCGTAAGTTAAATATTTTACTAACCAAACTCCGTCATAAATGCAGCCCTTTAAATGATGATCTCTTTAATGTTAACCTAATCAACTCTCCTATTTGTGCATGTGGATATCCTAATGAAAATGCTCATCATTTCTTTTTTACATGCAGTATATATACTGATCAAAGATTTGAAATGTTTAGAAATCTTCATGAATACTTACCTCTAAGCTTAGAGAAATTATTGTATGGCCATGAAGATTATTCGAGTGACGAAAATAAAAATGTATTTATATATGTCCAACAGTATGTATCGAGTACTCGCAGGTTTTAAATTTGGTCACGTTCTTCTGTCTCCTCTCCAACAGTCCTCATTATCTTTCATATTCATTTCTTAGCTTGTGTCCGTATTACATGGCATAACGTACACTTGTGTGTTCCTTATTATTTTAGTAATCCTCTGTAATGTTTAACTTTCTTTTAAGTGCACGAGAGCGTGAATGCAAGAAGTGTGCGTGTGCTTGAATGTATGTAATATAGGCATGTGATGGGCCTTCAATTACAGCCAGTGCGGTAGAAACGAATTTTCGAGAAAGGATGGAATGAAAAGGAGAAAGCCACAAAGCACGGGACGTGACGAACTGTTGAATAGTTGAAAGTATGGAATAGTGCCAGGATATCACTGCGCTGACTGTGCTGGATGGTTCCATTTTCATGACCAAATTTCAAAATATACCATAATTTGTAAATAAAAGTAAGAATGAACGTGTGCATTATATGTTGAATATTGAGATGTACATTATATAAACTGCAATGAATAAGTAACACTTATTATAAGGAAAGGGCGTTAATAATGTTCATGTAACTTGTGCCCAATCCTCTTGCATTTTTTGGCAATAAAATATGTTTAAACTATTCTGCTACCACTAGCCCTTCAACCTGGTGTGCGGGGAAGTCGCCAAGTGCTGTCCGTAGGTCGTTGCTTTTTCTCCTGGAACTCCGGCTTTCCACCGCCTCCAAAACATGGCATGTCCTTAATTGACCATAGCTGTTAAAAGGACGTAAAACACAAACAAACCAAACCTTTTTTGACTATTTATGACTCATCTCTGGTCGTAATTTACATAATATATGTGACCTTTAACATGTCAGTAGTTAAAAGTGATAAACATTTTTTGTATGTCTGAATTAGAATGTACTTTGAAATGTGAAATACTATCTAAATACATTGATGAAATGATTGATTGTCCGTACAGAATATAGCTCCCCCTCTACACACACACACACACACCCACACACCCAAATGTCGTAGCTCTATGACGTCATTGATTTAATGTTGACTGGTTGTATTCATGCTCAGCGGTTAATGTACCAGAAGTCGTATATCTGAGTAAGAATAATGTACTTTGAAATGTGAAATATGAATAAAATACAGTTCATTTTCTTTGATGGAATAATTGTCAGCAGTATTTGTACAATCTATTTAATGTTTTGAGTGTTATTTACTCGGGTTTTAGTCAAAATCAAGCTATAGACATATATGTGCACTGTAGTGACCCCAGGTAGGAAATGAAACTCATATAGATAAGAAAATATATTGGCGATAGTTGTATTCCATTTCACATAAAAAAAAAATCTCTTTAAGTTTCATATCATCCATTATCTTCTGCATATTTTTGTCAGATATTAAAAAAAAGTAAGCATTTTCCCAATAGGCATGGTGAAAACCTTTAATAAGGCCTTAGGGGGCCTGAGAATATATTTCAGTAGGTTTATTCAGACCTGTCCCGATGCATAGGAAGTATCATAAGACGATTTAGAAGTTTATATCAATGCAGATGAAAATGTCATTCCCACGATAGTGGTATAAATAGATGGGATAGAAGTCTCTGGAAGTCTATAACCTTATTACTTACTTAACTTCACCTTACTTTTTCCTCTGCAAAATCAATTTTTGTTGATTTACAGAAGAAAATCTTGTTATTGTTGAAAACAGGATAGTTTTTTCTTCTATTTTCTTAAAATGAAAAATAACGAATATGAAAATAAAGGAATTTAAAATTAAAAAAACCATCCTATATATACAAAACACAAGCTGAAAAATCGAGCCTACATCCAGATTCTAAAAATAATTCAAACAAACAAATACACAACAGTAATACAATGCGAGCTTGTATTTAGTGTTATATCTATATATGTCTGTTTAAAGGTTATAACAATGTAAATACAAATCAAAATGTATCAGTCATTCTTGTTACATTTCAATACTAGGTAAGCCAATGTATGTTGCACACTAATGCATGTAAAAAATATGACAACCAATCCTTAATAAAACAACTCAACCAAACCTGTATTACCTTACATTTACCGGTCGATTACATTTTGTAAACATCTGTGTTACACACTTTAATTAATAGTTGTTAAATAGTTTTTAACATATGAATACCGTGTTATGAAGTGTCATAATGCCATCACATAAATTATGTTTATGTAACGTGTGTTATATCACTCCGGAAATGACGTCACAATCGAATATTTACATGTCTCCCTTCTTCTAAGTCTCGTTTCAGCTTCGTAAACTCTGACTGCGTATAAATTAGGCCTAGCGTATACGCAGTGAAAAAAGGCTCGGCGGATTGATACTTGTTTCAAACATGGCGCCGTTCACGCTTCAGCGAGATTATAGTCCAATGACAACCAATGCTTAAATCATTCACCATCTAGATACATAGAACATATTTGGGATCCATTATGTCCAACTATACAACAACAGAACGCTGACAAACTTCTTATTCCATGGATGCACATTCAAATTTCTATGGCGGTAACGTCAACAATGGCGGCTTCTTTCCGACCCCGTTACTCCATGAGCATTGTGTCAATGCCCGTACATGACGACCGTTGTAAATGAATAGAAAAGTTGGAAGGGCTTCTCACATTGCGTATTTTAAAATTAATAACAGCATGAAGGGAAACAAATGGTGTTGTTCACTACGTATTTTCTAAATTTACTTACATCGATATAAGTTCAGTGGCACTATATTGTCCTGGCAACCACGGCTACCGTAGTTACCATCGTGGCAACCCGCTTCGACATTTTTTCTGTAAAATGTAGCATTTCAACATTCAATAAGGATTGACCTTCATTTTGACGGCGTATACGGTAGTCCTCGATATCCAGGGGTTACACCCACTTTCGCTCTCTGCACCCCTGAAATATGTCTTAGGAAAATCAAAAGTTCAGTTTACAGCCCCTTGTGGACGAGACGAGAAGGCAAGTTTGATCCCTGCACATCAAAAAAATCTCGCGGTCGCGTAACGGTAAAACATATTTTCTTTGGTCAAAGAAAAGTATTCAAATCTAAAGCTAATTAATATAATGTATTTGGATGTTTATGTCATTCAATAACGACATTTTTCGCGTAACAAACTATAACGATACATTTTATACAAAACACTCATAAATATTGATATTGTGTTTGTCTCCCTCTCTGTCACTTTATCTGACTCTGTCGGTCTGAATTGCTCTCTCTCTCTCTCTTTCTCTCTCTAAACCTGATCTCTTTCATTCTCAATCTGTGTAACACACTTTCATAAATAGTTGTTAGATAGTCATAATGGTTAAATATTCATACATGAATAGCAAAAAAAGCAAAGAAACATATCTGTTTCCTGTTACATGTCTGAAAAAATAAGGATAGGTAACAAAATACATTTTTTTCATTTACAAAGAAAAGTATTCAGTAAAGTGACTTTTACTTTAGAAGTGCTTCTTTTAAAATTGAAAAAGAAAAAGTTTTTTTCTTAGTTAAGGGTAATTAACCGGAAATAAGCATTTGTTTCTTTGGCCTAAGAGAGTATTCAAATCTAAAGCCAATTAATATAATGTATTTAGATGTTTTTGTCATTCAAAAACGAAATTTTCCGAAAAACAAACCATAAAGATACATGTTGTACAAAGCACTCATAAACATTGATATTGTGTTTGTCTCTATCTCTCTTTCCATGGGGTCAAGTGAACCGTATATTACTATTTCCCTAATGTTACAGTCCCATCACGTGCACGGTACCGTATCTACACCCGATCCACACGTTTCCACAAGTGTCCACACCCACCGCTGCAGGTTTCACCACTCCGTGTCTCCGGTCCAGGAGACACACAGCTTGTTTGCCGTCTCTCGGTAGGACGAACAACTGATTGTAACTGATGTCTGGTACAAAAACTCTATCAAACTTATCACATGACATCTTACAGAGGTTCATACTACCAACCTTTTGACCGTTGTCGAGTTCACCAGTCCATGTCTGTATGACGGTACCTGACTCGTTTATTATCTTTATGTTCCTATTATCCAAACTCCCGTCAATTGTTTGAACTACACACAGACGTCCAGATGACAAGCAGACAACGAACGTTATAATTTCAGAACCAATCGTGACCTTCCTCACGATCGTACCTGACTGATTCAGTACCACTATGTCTGGTGTAAATGTACTAACAAACACCGCGTCCTTCTCGTTGATGCTGATGTCCCATGCTTTATGTGGTCTGATGTCAGCAAATGTTGTCACTTGTTTGTTGTGTAGTGATATTTTATATACAAATGTACTAAGAAGATCACTGTTCATAAGTATGTCTGTTGTCCCGACCATGGCGATTCTGCACGGACAGAAGTCCAGTTTTACTTTCTCTATGACCACACCCTCCCTGTTGACCAGAACCAGACCCTTGAATTGATGTATTGATAACCACGCGTGACTGTCGTCGACTGGACATATACCGAATATTGCATTTTGTGAAGTAACAGTAAACTTAGAGAGACGTTGAACGTGTTTACTGTCGATGTCTGTCTTCTCGTACTGATTCTCGTGGTGTAATTTACCTAACATTTTCGTCAACATGACGCTGTCGATACTTCCGGTAACAAAGCTTGGTTGTTTGGGTGAGACATATTTCACATTAACGTCATACAGCGGCAGAGTTGTCCTCAATGACCTTTCTGTTTCAAACAAGGATACGCTTGATGTATTCGTCAGTTCCGCTTGTTCAAGCAGACGCGTCAGTTCTTCGACTTTTTTCTCTGATCGTTGACAATCCTTCTTGTGCGTGGTTGATTCTTCTTTTTCTAAAGCCGATAATTCAGCGAGTATTGCATCAGCGATAAAATCTACTTCTGCCTTTAACTTCGTCCTTTGAGAGTTCACCTCTTTCCTCATTGTATCAATGTTGTCATTGAACCCTTCGTTAACACGATGTCGCTCTGACGTCTCGTTCTTGAAATGTTTTATTTTAACAGAAATTGCTGTCATATTTTCTTTGAGATGTTGCTTTTTAATAGAAAATTCGTCTTCAAAATGTTTCCAGTTGTGGTGTTTATGAGTTTTAGATAAACACATCGAACAAAGCAACAGGTTGCAGTCCGAACAGAAAAGATCACACAGTTTACCGGGGTGTAGTTTACACACCTCTGGTACAGGCTTGTCGCCCTGGCGGTTAGCTTCCCCGATCGACACGACGTCATAGTTTTTAGTTTTCCGTCCGCGTTTATGGAATTCCTTACAACGGTCACATAAATTCTCCTGACAGTCGTTGCAATACCATCGTACCCCGTCTTCACTGTCACACAAAGCACACGTGTAGGTAACGGGTTCCTGGTCACGCCGTACAGATCTGTTACTTGCCATGGTGTTGGTACTTTAGTGAGTTTGATAAAATACTTAGCCTACAAACTGTAAACTGCAACCTTTTTGTTGTTATGTCGGAACACCTTTACCTATACACTTCCTTGTTACGGGTATATCACGTGATTTTACCGACAGACAGCCTTATGTCCCGGACTCCTGGCGTTCGGCCAAAAATAGTCTAACTGATAAGACAGGGCTATCATACATCACTATCATAACATGTGTGTATAGGACATACCGAGTACATGTGTTTTATGTTGCACATTTTAGTTGTGATTTGTACTTGAGTAACGTCCCTACGACCAAGCATTAGAACAATAGAAACAGCATCACGAGTGTTCTCATGACGCTGTGTAGCTTACCTACTATAGTAAATTACCAGTTTTTATAAAGACTTTACTGCATGTTCAAATAAAAATGTAGATATTTTAACAGCAAAATGTCAGAGTTAGTAATGTTCAAATGTATAAAGAATTTGATAAATACTTGCAATATATAAATATCAAAAGCTGCAACTGTTTTAAGGAAACTATTGATGAAAGCAAAAATCACAAGCTCAAATCAATTTCGGGCAAAAGACATACTCAAAGTTAAGCAAGAGAGAGAGAGAGAGAGAGAGAGAGAGAGAGAGAGAGAGAGGACGCCATTAGCATCTGGCATTACTCACATACCTTCAAACTGTAAAAGTACTGTATAACAATCCGACAAAATCTGTTTCCAAACAAATCAACATTGCATGTGTATCGATATGTTCCACTGGGGATATTATAACTGACACAGAAGGATCAGGGAGGCCTTTCAGTTAAGAAGTTATTGAAGTGTAAGTAAAGACTGGTCAGCATAGTATTATGTAAAACGATATGTGTTATGTAGACAGACTCGTCCTAATACCATTTATAATCTACACTGTCGCTTTACATCAAGTATCAACATAAGATTGGGGTATACAGTAAGTCAGAACGAGTTTGCTCCCCTTGTTCGAGTCCTTTATACATTATTCAGCTATGCATTGTACTAATTGGAGTTTACACTCTAATGACTATATTACAGTGTCAAATATTTGTCAAACTCGTTATCACTTACTCTATGACGTCGTCAATTTAATGTAGACTGGTTGTGGTAATGCCAAGCGGTTAATATGTTCTAGAGGTCAGTATTTAAAAGTGATAAACATTTCATTTATATCTGAATTAGAATATACTTTGAAAATTGAAATATGAATAGAAAACGGTACATTTTCTTTGATTGATTGAATAATTGTGAGAAGCATTTGTAAAATCTATTTAAATTCTTTTATTACTATGTAACACATGCATGACATAATTAAACACCTTCGTACCAAACTGAAGGGCACAACTTTACCTTTTGTTGTTCACTTTTTTTGGAGGGTTAAAATGTGCGAATGTTTTTAGTCAAAAGTCTAGGTATAGAAACATATGTCCAGTGTAGTGTCCACAGGTAAAAAGTTCATATAGAAAGAAAATCTGTTTGGCAATAGTTGTATTCTATTGCACATCCAAAGAGATTCTCTGTCGAAAATGTGATTTCTTTTTCATTTCATATCCGCTTTTATCTTCCACATATTTTTGATAGAAACTTCAAAATAAAGTCAGCATTTTCCCAATAGATATGACCTTATAATGTCACAGATATTTGCCAATTTTATTTTCCTGACTGTGAGAATGTTTGAACCTGTCCTGATCATAAGTACCTCTGATTTTAGCTCGGTCATAGGGGCCTGAGAATTTTACCACTGTGAGTCTGTCTGAACCTGTCTTGATGATAAAAAACACTTTTTAGCCCAGTCATAGGGACCCGAGATTTTATGACTATGAGATTGTTTGAACCTGTCCTGATTATAAATAACTCTGATTTTAGGCCGGTCATAGGGACCTGATATTTTATGACTATGAGATTGTTTGAACCTGTCCTGATTATAAATACCTCTGATTTTAGGCCGGTCATAGGGACCCGAGATTTTATGACTATGAGATTGTTTGAAGCAGTCCTGATTATAAATACCTCTGATTTTAGGCCGGTCATAGGGGCCTGGAGAATGTATCACTGTAAACATGTTTTAACCTTTCCTGATAATAAATACTACTTATAAGCCCAATCACAGGGGCCTGAGAAATCATAACCGTAAGTATGTTTGAACCTGTCATGATAAAAAGTAATAACTTTTTCTTGTTTCTCATTTGTCTGTAGTCTGATGACCTTTCACTTTACTTCTGGTGACCTTTCGCCTTACGTTTGATAACCTTTTACCTTACGTCTGATGACCTTTTACCTTACGTCTGATGACCTTTTACCTTACGTCTGATGACCTTTTACCTTACGTCTGATACCTTTCGCCTTACGTCTGATAACCTTTTACCTTACGTCTGATGACCTTTTACCTTACGTCTGATGACCTTTTACCTTACGTCTGATGACCTTTCGCCTTACGTCTGGTGACCTTTCACCTTACGTCTTGTGACGTTCCATTTTGTTTCTGATGACTGCACTCATTTTTAGTCCACGTCGAAGGACATTTCTTTATTCAATATTAAGATGCCTGAACATAGTTTTTATCTGTCATCCTACCATATGTGATCTGGTGAACCCTATAATCCATGATTATATATTGCACGCGTCTCCCTTTCGCCAGCTGTGTTTTAAGAACTGACAATGAAGGTATAATTGGGATTATTTTATTGTGAAAATGAGCCATGCTATACCCTAGGTTATGTACAGCACACGGTATATAGATGGAAGCCCATTTGTATTCCTCTTCTCAAAAAAGGAGGCACGGTAGTCTAGTGAGTACTAGTGGTAGGACGCCGAGCTCGTTGCGGGTTCGAGTCACGTCACGCCACTGTGTTGTATCTTTGAACAAGATACTTAACTCCGCTTGTTCCAGTCTACTCAGCTGTAAATGAGTTCGTGGTTGGACAGTGCTACAGTTGTTGAATGCTAGCTATGAGCGCCGAAATGGCAGCCCCGGCTGTATGATCCCCAGGGAGTTGAGAAACATGGTGGCTGGTTGCAAAGGCCCTATTACCACGGAAAATGATTTGTGAACCGCTTTAAAACGACCTACAAACTAGGTTGTGATAAAGCGGTATATAAGAACCTCGAATTAGTATTACAATGTATTATTATTATAGAAACCACGTACATATATATAGCCTGATATAGCTATACTTTCATCTAGTAAACCGGTTTTAACTTATACATGGAACTGTTAGACTAGGTAAATTGTGGGTGGCATTTTCGCTGAATGTTTATCTAAACCTATAAAACGTCTTATATTACCCTCTTCAGATCAGGATAGATACAACTCGGCTTATGTTCCCGGGTGCATGTGTTACCAGGGGGAAGTATTGCATCTACTTAGATTTCTCTAAATTTCCTCAAATGTAAAACAACATCGTAAAATATTTATGTATTCATGCAAAACTTCAGCTTGTGACTAGAGACCGTGATTAAATTGCTCACAATACCCCGAAACAATCATGGGCGGATGAGAGGGTCCGCCCCCTTTTTTTGCCATCGAAAATTTGATATAAATATTTGTTTTATTTTACAACTTCCACTAATCACTTTTGTTGGCCCGGATTTTAGTGCGCAGGGGTCTTAATGCGGAAGGAAACCGGAGTGCCGGGAGAAAACCCATTTAGTCGGGCTGGTGACCCCATACGTCCGACCGGGGAATCGAACCCCGGCCGCCTTGGTGAAAAGCAAGCGCGCTATTCACTGCGTTATCCGACCACCCGTAAGCATAACCCCCGGGATTTTGAGGATGGGATCCACCTGAATATTTAATGTAGAGTGATAGAAACGTTCAAAAGCGTTCGTGATGTCAACAACTGGATGTATCACGGGCGACACATCGTACACACCGGAACCGGAAAATCTTGTTAACGCTCAATTGTCATAGTTACCCCGGTACACAGAGCTCTCTGAACAGGAGAAAAAACAACGGAATGTCGTGTTACTGATGTCAACATACCATATAAGGATCTGGCACGACTATAAGGTCACGTGATCTCCTAGGAAACGTGATTCCTTCTACGTAAACACGTAATGTCTAACATTGACCATACCAAGGTGTGTCAAAATACTGAAGTTAAAGATATAAGTTAAAAGTTTAAAACAACACTGATAAACTTCTCATATCGGACAATAACAGTCCCACGACATCAAAGAAACTAATGCAGTTAATCGAACTCGAAATTTAAGTGTTCCGTCAATGAACATGATACCCGTTTTATCGATAAAAAGTGGTTCTTACTGGGATGTCCAGTTACAGTTATGTATAGTTATCTATCTGAACATGTGAGTGAGTAAACATAATACGATTTGGCTGCAGATGTTCACTGTCATGCTCCGTCTTAACAATAAAAAATATATAACTACGTGATAAACGAGTAACAGCTGCTGGCGTGTAACGGCGATTTACTGCAAACTTTGTTAAAATATTGTTGTTTATTTTGTTGATATGTTTTGTCATTTGTTTTTGTTCTTTTAAAAAAATCTTTACAAAAAATGAAATGGTCCTAATTAGGGGCGTCGACATTTTCGTATGCGAAATACTCAAACCAAGTTCAAGCTGTTTAATCACTCAAAATTAAAGAACCGGTATGGAGGTTTCCTTGGTATCGATTGGTTAAATATACTTGATGGTGAAAAGTCATAATCAAACAGATCACAATTTGATCTCAAAACGTCTCGGAGCTTGTGCAAGTCTACAAAGTCGACAGAGGCATACGCTTCAAACATGGCGTCTTTCTTGTGAACACGTGGTACTCTGTCCTTCAAACTATTAAACAATACTTGTAGTAACTGGTCCTTGCTGATATCATCACTTTCACTTCTTTTGATTGGATATTTAGTTTCCAAACTTATCAACCCGCGCAGTTGAAAGGCGCGCCACATCCGTTGCTGAGCCGTATGGAAACTCGGCACGCATTTGTGACGATCGACAAGGTGTCTTTTGTCGAAAAACAACAAATCCACGCTATGTGAGAATTGATCTCTTACATGTGCATCAGTTAATTGATCTTGAAGTTTATCGCGCATCTTTGTATGACCTACAGTACGCATTAAAAACA